CCAAAGCCATACTTACTGGACATCACGACCCCTCTTTTCCTGATTCAATAAAGGGGACCTCCAGCCACAATATAAAAAATAAACGTCAGCAGCTACAAACACTGTAGATGCTGAATTTTAAAAACAGACATTTAACGGTCCCTCAATCCAGTGATGCCCTCATCTCAACCGGCTGTCCTCTCTTCCCGGGATCTTCAGAGTGGGCACCCAGATATGACAGCTTGTGGCTTCACAGCCAGTTGCCCACTGCCCATGTGCAAGTAGCGCTGAGCTTTCTGAATGCTCCCGTTGTCTTCAAAGATCTGTCACATGTTCCAGAAGACTACGGGGGGAGGACAACTTCCGTTTCCAATCGCCTAGGTGATCACAGCTGAAGTGGAAGTGGGTACTTGTCAAAATTGGGTACCTGAATCCCCTGCTCCCCAAAGGTGCCAATCCCTAATGGGGAGTGTGGGATGAAGCCTTAAAGCAGAACTTCCCCTTTTGGGTGGAGATCCACTTTAAAAAAAATACAAAACATTCTTTGAATGGCAGCAGTGCCGAGTGGGTTACAACTGTGATCACTGTGCAGAAGGTAAGAATCACTTGCTCTCTAGAGGATTTACCCCCCTTCCTGACCAGACCATTTTTTGCGATACAGGGCTGCGTTACTTTAACTGACAATTGCGCGGTCATGCAATGCTGTACATAAATTAAATTTATGTCCTTTTTTCCCCCACATATAGAGCTTTCTTTTGGTGGTATATGATTGCCTCTGCATTTTTTATTTTTTGCGCTATAAATGACAATTTTGAAAAAAAAAAAACTAAATGTTTGACTTTTTGCTAACAAACATGTCTAATAAAGAAATGTAAAAAAATCTAATTTTTTCATAAATTTAGGCCAAAATGTTTTCTGCTACATGTATTTGCTAAAAGAAAAATCTCAATGCACGTCAATTAATTGGTTTACGTGAAAGTTATAGTGTCTACAAAATGGCGGTATATATACTGGAATTTGCAGTTATTTATTTTTATGGTCTGGACAAAAGTATTGGCACCCTTTCTCACAAAAACTGCGGATAAATTACTAGTAATGGCGGCGATCAGCGACTTATAGTGGGACTGTGGCTGACATTCTGACACTGGGGGGAACTGACTAACTGCCACTGACATCCCCAGTGACACTAATACAGTGATCAGTGCTAATAAAAAGCACTGACAATATACTAATGACACTGGGCAGGAAGAGGTTAACGTTTGGGCGATCAAGGGGTTAACTGTGTGCTGTTTTACCTTGGAGATATGCTGTTTTGTATTTCTCTGCAGAGAAATACAAAACAGCATGTCCATGCTGACAGGGGAGAGACCTGAGTTGTTTACACACAGGTCTCTCCCCTGTCAGCTTTGCATGGCGATCACTGGGTGCTGGCAGGGAATCTCCGGCCAGGACCCAGTGATTGACACGCCTAGCTGCCAGTGGTGGTGCAGGTAAGGCAGCATGTGTGCGCTCCTTACCTGGAAATGCAAATTACATATATATACACATGATTTTGCACAGCCCTGCCGCCCTGTAGCTGTAGTTCTACTATAGGGGCAGGGAAGCGGTTATACAGAACCAGAGCAGGACCTGGAAGATCGAAGCTATCACCGTAGTAGTTATTTTCAGCTTCCCCAGTGGTCTGTTGGGCATGAGATATGCATACTTGCATTGTGCCAAGGTGGACAAATGTTGCAATACCGATCATTTGTAGATTTCAGCTTTTAAAGCAAGCCAAGTGGAAATTATTACACCAACCCAGGCAGCTGCCGTGGTGTCCAGAGACATGAGCGACCAATCAGCAGAAGCAGAAGCCTTCGTGGCAGCCCTGTTCAGGTAAATGTGCCGCACTCGGTATATTGGTAGTGCTGCCCGATGTTAAATGTTTATTGACGCATGTAGAGAGTTTCTGCATCATTTTTTTATGTTTTAAGAGGAAAATTTTCACTGCAGACACATAGCTGGCGACATGTTAACACTGTTTTTGCAGCTCTGTCTATGTAAGTCAAGTATTATACACAGAAGGCTGCCTTGGGACACTGGGCACAATTCCCTAAGCGGTATCTTACGGCATCCGAATATGTGGTAGGATACCGCATTGCATTTAAAAAAAAAACCCTTTGAGTTCACTAAAAAACGCTACTAAAATACCGCATTAGTTATTTTATCAAGTCATTCAAGTCATGCGGTATTTTAGTAGTGAAAACCATGCGTTAATGTTTCAGCTGTCAGTGGGGTTTCCCACCGACAGCTGAATGTAAAAGAAAGAATTGTCAGCAATTAAAAAAACGGTGTGGGGTCCCCCCTCCATCCATACTAAGCCCTTCGGGTCTGGTATGGATTTTGAGGGAAACCCTTATGCCATACTTTTTTTGTTTAAATGGAGTGGACAATACGCTCTTTTTTAATTTTTTTTTAATTGCTGGCAATTTTTTTTGTACATTCAGCTGTCAGTGGGGAACCCCGCTGACAGCTGATGACTCATAGGTTGTTAGCGACTCGGCGGCCACCCATTCCTTAACAACCAATGACAGTACTGATAGATGCCAGTACATACCGCATGCTTGGACCACTACTTAACCACTTGCCAACCGCTCTATAGACCAATGACGGCTACCGAGCAGTTGTCCAGTCCTGGGAACGCGCCCTCCTGCGTACCCCCCAGGGGTGCGCACCAGGCGATCTTCTTATGGACACAGCTTATCACGCAATGTGGTAAAAGGCCAATCACAGCGGAATTTTACCACGTGATCAGCTGTGTCCAATGACACGCTGATCACCAGTAAATGCAGTTGCCGGTTATCGGCTGCACTTTCCTCATACTGTCACAGCGTGAGGAAAGTACTGCCAATAACTGGCAATTGTCAGAGGACGGATCGGCACCAATCATCAGTGCACTGATGATCAGTGCCCTGATCATCAGTGCCCAGCAGTGCCACCCACCATTGCCACCCACCTGTGCCCAGCAGAGCCACCCACAAGTGCCCAGCAGTGCCACCCACCTTTGTCCAGCAGTGCCACCCACCTGTGCCCATCAGTGCCTAGTACTGCCACCCACCTGTGCCCAGCAGTGCCACCCCAGCACCCATCAGTGCCACCAATCAGTGCCACCCATCAGTGCCCATCACATATCAGTGCCCATCATTGTTACATATCAGTGCAGCATCATCAGTGCTGCCTCATCAGTGCCAGCTCATCAGTGCTGCCCATCAGTGCCACCTATCAGTGCCCCTATCAGTGCCCATCGGTGCCGCCTATCCATGCCACCTCAACAGTGCCACCCATCAGTTCCCATCAGTGCTGCCTCGTCAACGGACATCAGTGAAGGAGAAAATTTCCTTTTTGCAAAATTTTATAATAGAAACAAATATAAACTTTTTTTTTAAATGTTTTGCTCTTTTTTTGTTTATTGCGCAAAAAATAAAAACACCCAGCGGCGATTAAATACCACCAAAAGAAAGCTCTATTTGTGTGAAAAAAATTATAAAAATTTCACGTGGGTATAGTGTTGCATGACCGCGCAATTGTCACTCAAAGTGCGACAGGGCTGAAAGGTGAAAATTGGCCTGGGAAGGAAGAGAGTATAAGTGACCGGTAGGCATGTGGTTAATTACTGCATGCATTTAATAATTTATTTCCTTTTGTGAATTGACTTTAACCACCTCCAGTCCGGCCGTTGTATATAAATGGCCGGACAGTGGCAGTGCAGGGTCGGGTGGTTGTTTATAAACAGCCTCCCCGCACCCTGCTTGTGCGCCCTCCCTGGGAGCGCGCAGCACCACGATCCTGTGCCCGCTGTGTCCTCCGGACACAGTGGAACATCGATCGTCAAACGGGACCTCTGTACGAGGTCCTGATCATGTGATCACTGATTGGCCAATTGGTGATCACATGCAGAGTAGTAAGCAAGATGTCACTTGTGACATCATTGCTTACTACGTGTGAAATCTGTGAATGATCACAGAGGTCACATGGTACAAGGCTATTCACAACAGCCTTGTACCATGTGACAAGCTGTGGCCAATCACAGCTCACCCAGTAGTTCTCAATGGCTGCAAGAATGCAGCTAGAGAGAAGGAGAAATTATTGCTTTTACATTCTTTATGGGTGTAAAAGCAATCAGTGTAAAAAAAAAAAAAAAATCTTCATCACCCCCCACAAGTAGTACAGTGTCACCATGGTGACACTGTACTGCTAGAGTGACAGTATGTAAAAAAAAAAAAAATAATAAAGAAAAAATAATATAAAATAAATTAAACAAATTAAAAAAAAAATGTTTAAAAATTATAATTTTTGGTTATTATAAACTAATTTGGGTTATTTGTTTTTTACTAAAAATATAACGGAATACATTTTGGCCAAGATTTATGATGAAATACTATTTATTTGCAAAATTTATTTCAAAATTTTTGGACATTTTAATTTACATAGAAAAAAAAATAAAAATCCCAACGGTGAATAATTACCACCAAAATAAATCTGTATCTGTCTCAAAAAAATGCTAAAAAATTCATATGGGTACAGTGTTGCATGACCGCGCAATTGTCATTAAAAGTATGATAGCACTGAAAGCTGAAAATTGGCCTGGGCAGGAAGGGGGTGAAAGTGTCCGGACTGGAAGTGGTTAACCTCCCTAGCGGTCTGATTATGTCCATATTTCTGTGCTCAAAGCGGTACATTATTTTGCATGGAAACATGTATTTTTTTTATTGTAGGCTGTAATTTTTAGGAATAACTCACTGAAATCTGTCCGAACAAGAGTCTACTAAACATCCCGGGTAGGATAAAACGTGAAACACGAAATCATAAATTATAATTTAATAAATAATCATAAAAATAATATTATAATAAAAATACATTTAATTCAATAATATAATCAAACCAAAAACACTGAAATTTGAAATATAGCGCCAAGTTCGCACATCACTGAGCAAAATCATTTTCAGTTTCTGATGACGAATTTCCCCACCAATCATTATCACTCAATTCTGCAAGTTGTTCTAATTTTCTATCGCTGTTCTCTAGCTGGTCTAAAAGCGCTTTTGACCTAAAGGGACGCTTTTTGGACGCCATGGACATTTCTCAGTTTCCAGGCAGAAAGAACAGTAAAAATGCAGGCAGGGCACAGGACAAAGCACTAGGGACAAAATGTATGTGAAATGGGTTGATACAGTAATGTTATACTATGTGATTTTAGTGAATGTCACTTTTTGCCATTTTTAAATTTCCCGCCGTTCCATCCCCGTATGTCCCGACGTCGCAGGGGACAGAACCCAGATGACAGATGCAGGCATCCACCGGATTACATTGCTGGGAACACTGCAGGAGGGACATCGCGGGAGCGCAGGACAAGGTAAGTGATCGAGGGATTGCGGAGCAGCGCCGCATGGTATTCCCGAGTGTAGCTCGGGGTTACCGCTTGTGGTGCTGAAACTTTACCCCGAGCTACACTTGGGAATACCGCCAGGGAGGTTAAGGTCTTTTTATGCGGTATTTACCGAATGTTTTTGCCATTTTTGGTATATACCGCATACCAGCAATAGTGAATTGACATTTTCAGTATCGCATGCGATATGTGGTGATCAGGGGCGGACTGACAACTCATGGGGCCCCCGGGCAATAGGGGATCATGGGGCCACTCTGTCCTTGCCCAAACTCAAATCCTATGAAAAAGGTACCAGTGGCATCTCATGGGGCCCCCTACTGACCCCGGGCCCTCGGGTGTATCTGACTTAACTCATGTGTTAGGCTTTAGTGAATTGTTCTCACTGTTACAAACACCATGGCATATTTACTAAACTGCATAAAAATAATGTTCTACCAATAATACCGGGTCTCTGCTATGTGTCTGCATTCCCTTCCTTTCCTGTTGTAGCCGGCTGTAGTACTAATCAGCTATAATCTTCTGTGTTCTCAGAAATTCCCTAGAGTGCAGCACTTATACTGGCGGACCTGCTTACCATGCCTATCACAGGTTAGTGCCATGGCTTCTGAATTACAAACCTTCAAATATTCACAAGCCAGCTACCAAGGCAAACAACAAAATGAAGACAATTTGTGATTGACGGAGGAAAGTAAATCAGGCCAAACAAGCAGGAGATGTCAAGAGGGCAAATATTTAGGGTTCATGTACACTGCAGCTGATAAACTGACATTCAGGAGCTGTTCTGCGTTTTTTTCAGCAGCCCCTGAACTCTCCCTAATGTTTTCCTATGTGTCCATGTACACAGTCGTTTACAAGCAATTGAGTTTACAGTCATTTTTTTTAATGCACCAAACTTGCGTTCAGGAGTAGATTTTACCAAACGCTTGTAAACGCGGTTTATAAGCGTTTGCGTTTAGAAGCGTTTTTTAACTGTTCCATGTCCAGATGCTGTCCAGAGTCTTTTTCTTCATCAGAAATGTATGCAAAGTGTTTTCCATGTATTCAAATTGACCCGGTATACCGGCGCAGTCAGTTTCATGTTTCGCGTGAAGGAAAAAATGGTAGAACGCGCTGCATTACGCTCATAATGGGATCCATAGTGAATACAACCAGAAAGGACAGGTCATCTCCACACATACTGCTCTCTCTGCTTCTGCTCTCTCTATTTCTCTCAAAATGTCTGAAATAGTTAATTTTTGACTATTTTTCAGTGCATTCTGGGCATTTGGGAAGGTCTCCTGAGGTTATCTTTTAAAAAACACTTCTAAATGCAAACACACATAAACGTGGTTAAAACTCACGTTTTTTTAACCTACGTTTTCCAGCAGTCCGTTTCCATCATTCAGAAGAGTTTTCCAAACGCCCCGTGTACATGAGCCCTCAGGGACAATCTATCCTTGCAAACACGGAGCTCTTGGCAATTATTCCATACATGTCAAGAGCCATGAAGGTTAGAAGTTTCATGTGCCCCTCCTTATTCCAGCTCTTGTAGGGGAGAAAGTAACAAAGGGCTCTGCAAGTCAATTTTATTTCAAGGATTTATAAAGCACCAACAATTTATGCAGTTCTTCAAATACTGTACATTCACATCAGTCCTTGCCCTCAAGGAGTTAACAGTCTAAGGTCTCTCTCGCACATGCATACACATACAAGGGCCAAATTAGACAAGAGCCAATTATCATACCACCACGTCTTTGGAGTGTGAGAGGAAATCAGAGTACCCTGAGGAAATTCTCAGAAGCACAGAGATAACATGCAAATTCCATGTGAATAGTGTCCTGGCTGGGATTTAAACCATGGAACCCGGTGCTGTGAGGCAGAAGTGTTACCCACTAAGCAACTGTATATTGAGAAGCACTACCTGGAAAGATTGTGAATAGTGTATTTGTGTTTCATTTAGGTTTCTCAAATACCCATGAAGGAGGCTTCAGGGTTTATGGCTGATGTGGAAAAAGCCAACGTTTTGTTTTATCAGGATATAGTTACGGTACTGAGTCCTAGAGTCCGGAGGCTTTCTAGGGCTTTGAATGGGTTAAAGCCTCAATTTCTAGGTTCACAAACTCTGGAAACCAGAGTTTTACTTTGGTGCTTACTTAAGGCCTGAATCTTGGCTGGCTCCTTCCCTGCTTCCCAGGCTGTCCTTTCTCAGGGGACAGTTGAGGCTGAGAGATCCTCCTTCCCAGCTCCTGCCTGCAGGTAGGCACCTCTCCTGGGCCCCCTCCCAGGCTCCACATGCAACCTTCACTCCACCTTTCACTACTCCTCTGGCTTAGCAGGCTGTCATACTTAAAGGCTGCCATGGCCCCATACCAGGCTTCCTACTTTGGGATTGGCCAGAGTCCCCTGAGTATGCAGATCATCCCCTCCTCACCCTCTGCACACTGACTTCTAGAAACTTCTCAATTCTGTAGAGCAAGGGGGGGGGGGGGGATTATCAGGGAACTGATCAGCAGAGCCCCCAGTCCTGACCTGAAAATAACCTGGCTGACTCATCCCAGGCTGCTACTTAGCCTCCGACTGCAAATCTATCTATCTATCTATCTATCTATCTATCTATCTATCTATCGCCTTTTAGCTAACTAGAGGGGCGTGACATTAAAACCTTATCAAGTAAGAGGTACAAAAATGTTAGCCCTTGGGCTCATCGAGGAATCTAACAGTGGTCATGTCCCATAGTGCTCATCCCCAAGCCAGATGGCAGTTTGAGGTTCTGCAGCGACTTCAGGAATCTAAATAAAATATCCAAATTTGAGGTTTTATCCCATGTCCCAGGTGGATAAATTGATAGAAAGGTTGAGTCCACCCAGGTACATTACCACTCTCAATTTTACTAAAGGGTACTGGTAGGTTCCCTTTACAGCCAGATCAAAGGAAAAGACTGTGACACCAGATGGGATGTTCAAGTATTGTTGGCCCCAGCCTCATTCCAGAGGATGAAGGACTGCATTCTTAAACCCTACAAATGCCCCACATCTGGATGATGTTACCAAAAGGGGTGGATGCAGATAAAAACACATATTTCTTAGAGTGTTGCTATGCTATTCTTTTTGAAATTTGAATTTTGGAAGAACACTATATTCTTTGTATTCTATTCTTTTCTGTTCTATTATTTTGTTTTCTATTCTATTCTTTGATTTTCTATTCTTTTCTGTTCTATTCTGTTTTATTCTATTCTTTTCAAAATTAAAATTTTTGGAAGACAGCTATATTCTTTCTATTTTATTCTATTATATTTGAAATTCGAATTTTGGAAGGGGACTATGTTCATTCTATTCTTTTTTTTTTTCTATTATTTTCTATTCTACTGTTCCTTTGTTTTCTATTCTATTCTTTATTCTATTCTCTTATTCTATTTTTTTATTTTCCATTCTATTTTTATATTCTAGTATATTATTTTCTATTCTATTATTTTATTTTCTATTCTGTTTTACTCTGTTCTATTCTATTCTGTTTTATTCTATTCTATTCTTTTTGAAATTCTAATTTTAGAAGGCAGCTATATTCTTTCTGTTTTATTCTATTCTATTCAAAATTAAAATTTCAGAAGACGGCTATATTCTTTCTGTTCTATTCCATTCTATTTTTACATTATATTATTTTCCTTTCTAGTCTATTCTTTTATTTTTTATTATATTCTGTTCTGTTTTATGCTATTATTTTCGAAATTCGAATTTCAGAAGACAGCTATATTCTAATACACACAGTTGTTGAAGGATATTTGAAAAAATGAAATTTTTTTTAAATTTCTTTCGAATTTGATTCATATTTGAATAATTAGTTTTTTTGGACAAAATTTTATTTTTTTATATCGGATTCATTTAAATTCATTACTATTGTAATTTTAATTTTGTAATTTTTTATTGTAATTTTAATACATCCAAATCTCTGAATAACAAAAATTTAATCCAAATTTCGATTCTGAATTAAATGAACTGTACATGTCTAGGGGGCACTATTAATCCCACTGACACCAAAAATGGGGAATTATTTCTCCCACTAAAGATGTGGCATTGCTTACTCCTACTGACAGCAGGACATTTTCTACTCCCACTGGCCCCAGTCTAGTCCCCCTAAAGTCTGAACTACAGTAAACTGGTTTAGAAAGTTTGGAGACCCCTGATCTAAATTACAACTGTTAATGTATTTTTTACCCCATTCCACAGATATAGGTCGACACGTTGCATGGAATAAATTGGCTTCTTCAAGACTGGTACCAATATCTGTTGAAATATTGTGTTCAGTGGTCTATACACTTGTCTAATATTCATAATACCACTAATGAAAAACTAGCATAATGAAACAAATACATTGGAAAAGATAAAGTAGAGGTCCACATGCAGCACACATCCCAAAACTACACCCAGTGGACAGGTATATTGACCACTTCTGGTCTGGCCCAAGTATATAAACGGCCGGATGGGAGCAGTGCAGGAGCGGGTGGCTGTTTATAAATGTCCTCCCCGCTTCACTGCTTGTGTGCGCTCCCTGGGACCCGCGCAGCACCACGATACGGTGTCCGCTGTGTCCGGAGGACACGGTACCTCTGTGTGAGGTCCCAATCATGTGATCACTGATTGGCCAATCAGTGATCACATGAATAGTAGTAAACAAGATGTCACTTCTGACATCATTGCTTACTACGTGTGAAATCTGTGAATGATCACAGAGGTCACATGGTACAAGGTTATTCACACCAGCCTTGTACCATGTCACAAGCTGTGACCAATCACAGCTTGCACAGTATTTCTCAATGGCTGCAAGAATGCAGCCAGAGAGAAGGAGAACTGATTGCTTTTACAGCCTTTATGGGTGTAAAATCAATCAGTGTAAAGAAAAAAAAAAAACTTCATCACCCCCCACAAGTAGTACAGTGTCACTATGGTGACACTGTACTGCTAGGGTGACAGTATGTTACAAAAATAAATAAATAAATACATAATAATATAAAAAAATAAAATAAAAATGTAAAACGTTTTTAAAAATTATAATTTTTGGTTATAAACTAATTTGGAATATTTATTTTTTTTAAACTAAAAAGATAACTGAATACATTTTGGCCAAGCTTTATGAAGAAAGATTATTTATTTGCAAAATTTTCTAAGAAAAACAATTTTTTTTTATTTTTTTAACTTTTTGATTTATATAGCAAAAAAAAAAATAAAAATCCCAGTGGTGAATAAATACCACCAAAATAAGTTTTATCTGTCTCAAAAAATGCTAAAAAATTTATATGGGTACAGTGTTGTCATTCAAATGATAGCACTGAAAGCTGAAAATTGGCCTGGACAGGAAAAGTGTCCGGACTTGATGTGGTTAATTTTATACAAGTCCAAAAAGTATTTTACTTACTTACTTACAGTATACTGGTTAGATCTGTGTAGTTACATGAGCTAAATTAGGAAAGAGGAGGAACTCCCAAAGGGGAAGCAATGGGAAAAGAAAAAGATTTCTCCACCCGAAAATCCTACCAGCATCAAGACGTGCATGTCTAGAAAAGGTGCTCTGGGAGCTCTATACAGAAAAATCCCATTGCTCTTTCCTCTCCCCTCCTTTTATCTTTTGGAAGTTTGTTCTAGCTGGAAACTCCTTAGGTGGGAACAAGGGGCGGACTGACAACTCATGGGGCCCCCGGGCAATAGGGGATCATGGGGCCCGTGTCCTTGCCCAAACTCAAAAAAGCTTATGAAAGAGGTACCAGGGGCATCTCATGGGGCCCCCTACTGACCCTGGGCCCTTGGGCAGTGCCTGAGTTTCCAAATGGTCAGTCCTCCCCTGGTGGGAACAGATGACACTCAAATACAAGTTTATATATTAAGTTTATGACTTTGTTGCCATAATGTCTGATTATTAGCGTACTGCATGGAGGGTTTCATAAATAAAGTATAGAAGGATTGTTTTGGTGATAATGGATAGGAAAATGAAATTTCCGTTCTTTAATGTTCAGCCTGAAGAAGGTTTTAGAGGAGAAATCGGCCTTGTTTTGGCCTATGACCTACTTTATGGAATGTAAAGAAACTCAGATTATTGCATTCAGGATACACAAACATTCAAGAAGTCCCAAATGAATTTAAGGAGAAATGGAAATCCAATCTTAATAAATGATATTTGGGTACGGCGACAATACTAAAAGAACATTTTGAACAGGAAATTAGAAAATGAGATTCAAGAATTTTTTACATTTTTAACATTCAGAGCGGATTTCAAAGATTTCCTAACATATGAATATTTCACCAATCTGTAAGCTGTCCCAGTCTTGAATGCCAGCTGTCCTCTTACAAATTGTTTGTATTATTTTATTATTTTGCTCTAGTTGTTGTTGAAGCTCCTCATCCTTTTTCTTTATGTAGAAGAGTTACAACAAATCTGGTTAAGTTCATCTGTGACAATTTGTATGAATAGACCAAACACAGTAACCTGAGTGTCTATATATTTGATACATTTATATATTGCTTTCATAGCAATGGAATGGAGCTTTCTAAACCAGCCTTTTTCAACCAGGGTGACCAGGCACACTGGGGTGCCTTCAGGTTTCTTCATGGGTGCCTTGGCAAAACACCTAAAAATTGCCCAATAATTGTATACAAGCCAACGGGTGGATCAAGCTTGCCATTTAGTTGTAAAAAGCCAGAGGTTTTAATAGTGCACCATTAAACCTTCAGGCCGCCAGATTCCCAACATACAATGACATCATCACTTGATAAGGAGGACATTTGTTGCCTTCATAGCATCCTTGTTTGCCCTTCTCCATCAACACTGGGATTACATTAGCTGAGTGAGGGAGAAGAGAAACATTGGAATACTAGTCAGTACCATTGTACAAAGGTATATTTGCCTTGGAAAAAAAATCTCCAACATTGGGTGACCTACGTTTCTGGATATTGCTGTGTTATGTAAAATTATTAGTTTAGGTTTTTACATTTTAGAATAGGGTGCCTCAGAATTTTAAAGGGTGGTCGAGAAACACTGTTCTAAACTGTATAATCATAGCACACAAATATATTTGTCAAGTTACTGCTCCCTCTATTCCCACATGGAAGAAAAATATATTTGAAATATATTTTAAAAATATTCTTCCCAAATTTATTGACATATATTTAAAATGCTAAAATTTTTGCCATATTCAATATATTTCAAAATATATTTCAAGATATATATATATATATAATATATATATATATATATATATATACACACACATACACATACTGCATGTTGAAATGCGTTTTTTTAAAAAACATTTTTGGAATACATTTACAAATATACGTAAAAAATATATGTTAAAATGACTTTTTTTATATGTTGAAAAAAATCTGAAGCATATATTTTTAAAAATATATATTTTTAAAAATATTTTTCTTTTAAATATATTCTTCAGATTTTTTTTAACATAAAAAAAGTCATTTTTCAAGTCAAGTTATTTTTACATATATGTGTACATGCATTCCAAAAATGTAGATTTGTATTTTTAAAGACATACAGTATATTTGAAATGTATTTTGAAAAATATTTTTCAGAAATTTTGTAATAAAAACGCATTTCAACATGCAGTATATATATATATATATATATATATATTGAATATGGCTAAAATTGTAGCATTTCAAATATATGTCAATATATTTGGGAAAAATATTTTAAAAATATATTTCAAATATATTTTTCTTCCATATGGGTTTGCTGGGCATTCTATGCCACATATAAAGTTATCTTTCTATATGATAATCTGGTGATTCTGTTTTTATCTTTTTAGGAACATTGATATGGGGGTACTACATGGTGGCAGTGAAACACGCCAGAACACCTTGTGATATGCATGCTTTGGATTTACTTCCACCAGTGACATATTATTGACTGTCGCCATGGTTACACGTACAGAGGATAATATTGGAAAGGCCTCCTGGGAAAAAAAACAATCTATTACTTGCACACGTTTGAGATTGCTAATTCATTACAAAATCCAATACTGTCAGTGGTACCTGATTCTTACTAGGGTTCTTCATCTATTGTCCATGAAACCAACTTTACTAAGTGACATATTGCTTCCTGTGGTGGATCAGCTTTAATTTATTGTTTTTTAATTCAATTTATGTCAGGCTTTGTGTCGTAAATAATATTCCTTCGGAATAAAAAGCCACATTTATCCAATCAAGGTTCACGTTCCATAAAGGTTTCTAAGGCCAAAGCCTGCCTGAATGGGTTCTACATACTTGAAAATAAATGTTGGGATAATAATTGTTTCCATGTTGAAGCAGGTTACAATGAACATGTCTGTCTGACATGACAGCTACTGTATATAATTGAGCTAGGATAGGAACTAAGGGTTATCCCAGTGTATGCGTCCCTGCACTCCAGAACTGATCTGTGACTATGGACAGGGGAGGACTGACCATTTGGAAACTCGGGCACTGCCCGAGGGCCCGGGGTCAGTAGGGTGCCCCATGAGATGCCCCTGGTACCTTTTTTCACAGGCTTTTTTGAGTTTGGGCAAGGACACAGGGACCCCATGATCCCCTATTGCCCGGGGGCCCCATGAGTTGTCAGCCCGCCCTTGACTATGGAGATACAAGTATGCAGGCAGGGCTGCCTTAGTACTTCTTTTTAGAGCACCTGCTGTTAAATCGCAGTATAATTTCTGTTGTGTTTCCTTAGTCCCCTTCAACTCGAAGGGTCCGATCAGATCCGCCTGTCAGTTTTTCAGGCAGACCTGATCGGATGGTCAATTCACCCCTATGTGAGTGGCAATTCCATTTACACTTGTCTAATTCAATCTGGTCCACTAAAAAAAAAAAAGGCAGGGATCCATCCTCCTCCATCCAGGTAGAGCAGAATGGAGGGCAGTAGGGTGTAAACTGACAGTGGTGTCTGTTCACACCCGGCCATCTGTAGAACAGAATGGGCTCTGTCTGTGTCCGCTCTGCATAAAACTGAGTGGACATGGACCCGTCATCCACCCACTCTGCTCTGATCAGCAGGGGATCAGTGGAAACATCCTCTACTGATCAAAACAGAGTCCACCCCATGTGGAAGGGGCCTTAATCTATATTGACAACTAATACACTACAGATGGTGGACACTTGACCATCACACATGGACATCTCATACTATGGACTATAATATGGACTTTGCCTCCCTCTGCTACTGTAACAGCCTCCAGTCTTCTTGAAATTGTTTCCACAAAATGTGAACTGTGCCCAGAGCCAGATCTAGCCTATCTGATCTGGGGTTCAGTAAAAAAAAGTCAGGGGGCAGAATGTCAATAGTGTGACAGAGATGCAAGGAACCAGTATTCCCTGTTCACTCGGCATGCTTCTGTACCACTGAGTCATAATTCAGAAGTAATGTTTGACAGGTAGTGCAGAGGCAGTACAGAAATGCTGGTATATATCAGGCTGTCATTAGTTTATGGTGATTAAACAGAACCTGTGCCCCCTTATATCAGATATCCCTATTAGAGTCTCTCCTTATATCAGGAATCCTCCTCAGAGATCTGTAAGAGTCCCTATAACATCTGGTGTCCTCACCAGAGTGCCCCTTACAAAAAAAGGCCATATCAAAGTGCCGCCTTACATCAATTGCCTCATCAGAGTGCCCCCTTACATCAATTGCCCCCCCTCTGAGTGTCCTCTTTACATGAACTGTCCCCATCAGAGTGCCCCCTTACATCAACTGTCCCCATCAGAGTGCCCCCTTACATCAACTGTCCCCATCAGAGTGCCCCCTTACATCAACTGTCCCATCAGAATGCCCCTGTACATCAACTGTCCCCAATCAGAGTGCCCCCTTATATCAACTTTCCCCATCAGAGTACCCCCTTACATCAACTGTCCCCATCAGAATGCCCCCTACATCAACTGTCCCCATCAGAATGCCCCCTTACATCAACTGTCCCCATCAGAGTGCTCCCTTACATCAACAGAGTGCCCCCTTGCATCAACTGTTCACGTCAAGGTCTCATGGCTTTGTGGATGCACTCTCAAAGATCTAGGGGGCACAACTAAAATCTGGGGGGGCATAGCCCACCCCAGCACCCCACTAGATCCATGCCTGACTGTGCCTGTGGGAATTTGTGCCCAGTCAGCAAAACAAGCATTTGTAATGTTTAGTACTGACTAGGGATGCACGATACCAGTATTGGTGCTCATACCGATATAAGTACTCATGCTTGTGAAAATGCTCCTGATCCTGGAAACTGATTCTTTGCGCTGCGATTTTTGTCAATACAATTTGCACTGCAAAGATTAGCATGCAATTTGAACAGGAATTAAATTCCTGTCCAGATTGCATACGGTTTCCCCACTGCTCCTCTGTGAACCCAGGCTTGTCATAACCCGAGTTCATACAGAAGCAGTGCAGAACCTCCCGGCAGGCATCCCATGCTGAGCGGAGAGTGGACGTCTGGAATGTATACAAATCCCCAGACCTGTGAAGCAGCTTTCTCTCCTCGCGTTGCAGGGATGAAAGTACAGTCTAGACAGCATCTGATTGGTCAGCACCGTCCATGTGGCGGTGCTGACTAATCAAAAGCCCTCTAGCCCGAACTGTCATCTCTAAATGGAGAGGAGAGAAAGTGGCGGGGATTTCAAATCCCTGATGCTTTCTTTCCTCTCCTACCGCTGAGAATATGGAGCTTCTGCCACTATAGTATACATCCCAACATGCCCACTCTCCGCTGCGGGAAACTTCCCTGCACTGCTTCTGTGTGAGCTCAGGCTAAGACAGCATTGGTTCACACAGGAGCAGTGGGGAAACCGCATGTGATTTGGACATAAAAAAATCTCTATTCTTTGTCATGCAATTTGCATCCATACATTTTGTATTGATGCAAATCGTACCTCAAAGTATCAGTACTCGGTATCGACGAGTACTTGACCAAAAGTATCGGTACTTGTACTAGCCGATAAAAAAAAGGTATTGGTGCATCACTAGTACTGACGTTAGATGGGAAGACCCAGCCTGCAATTGGTACTCCAATTTATCCTAAAAGTAGGGTTTGAGATCAGGACTCTGTGTAGACCACTCCAGTTTTTCCACAATGAACTTATCAAACCAGCTTGATTTACTAAAGGCAAATTTACTGTGCACTGCAAGTGCAATTGCTTCATAGCTTAGCAAATGAGGTGAAGATTCATTTCACAAAGAATACCCAATCACATGCAAGGAAAATTAAAAAAAAAAACAGCATTTTGCTTGCACATGATTGGATGATAGAAATCAGCAGATCCTCAGATCTAGAGCAATTGCACTTGCAGCGCATTTGCCGTGCACAGACTATTTGTCTTTAGTAAATCAGCCCCACAATGTCTTTACCAAGCTGGCTTTGTGCATAGGTGCACAGTCATGCTGGAACAGAAAGAATCCTTCCTCAATCTGTTGCCACAAGGTTGGACCTCAGATATCTAAAATGTCTTTTTATTCTGTAGCCGTAACAAAACCCTTCACTGGAAACTCCTGAACTCTGTAGAGGTGTCCATATAGTTTTTGACACATAGTAGATGTAATGGTCAGGTGCCCACAAGTGCTTGGCCATACAGGGGGAGATTTGCTAAAAAACTGATGCACTTGGGGGCTAAGAATATGCATGCATCATACATACTAGGGGGGGTACAACTGTGGGAATCAATGGTGGAGAAGGATCTGGGAGTTCTGGTAGATCACAAGCTTAATAATGGCATGCAATGCCAAGCTGCGTGTTCTAAAGCGAACAAAATCCTCTCTTGTATTAAAAGAGGTATAGACTCCAGAGAGAGAGATATCATTTCCCCGGTACAAATCATTAGTAAGACCTCATCTGGAATATGCAGTTCAGTTTTGGGCACCAATTCACAAAAAGAACATTGGGGAACTGGAGAAAGTACAGAGAAGGGCAACTAAACTGATAAGAGGCATGGAAGACATCAGCTATGAGGAAAGATTAGAGGAACTGAATTTATTATCTCATGAGAAGAGGCGATTAGGGGGGATACGATCACCATGTATAATACATAAGGGGGGATATGATCTCCATGTATAATACATAAGGGGCACCATGTATAATACATAAGGGGGGGATACAATCACCATGTATAATACATAAGGGGGGATATGATCACCATGTATAATACATAAGGGGGGATATGATCTCCATGTAGAATACATAAGGGGGATATGATCTCCATGTATAATACATAAGGGGGGGATATGATCACCATGTATAATACATAAGGGGGGATATGATCACCATGTATAAATACATCAGTGGTTCATATAGTGAACTCAGTGTAGAGCTATTCACCCTGAGGTCATCACAGAGGACAAGGGGGCACTCTTTACGTCTGGAGGAAAAGAGATTTAATCTCCAAACACGGAAAGGTTTCTTCACAGTGAGAGCTGTGAAAATGTGGAATAGATTCCCTCAAGAGTTGGTTCTGGCCAGCTCAGTGGATTGCTTTAAAAAAGTCCTGGATTCTTTCCTAGATACACAGAATATAATTGGATACTAACATTTATAGGTAAAGTTGATCCAGGGAATATCTGATTGCCTCTCGGGGGATCAGGAAGGATTTTTTCCCAGCAGGAGCAAATTGGATCATGCTTTGCTGGTTTTTTTTTTTTGCCTTCCTCTGGATCAACTGTGGGTATAGGATTATTATTTTTTTTATTTTAATGGTTGAACTGGATGGACTTTTGTCTTTTTTTCAGCCAGACTAACTATGTAACTATGGTGCACACAGAATCTGGTGCAGCAGAGCATAGTATCACCAGACAGAGAAGGGCATTTAAATGTTTCTTTGTATTCCATATAACTGATGCTCAGGTCTGTAGCTTTGGGGCAGGAACACATAACTGAATTGAGAACTGCTCCCATGCTGATTACTGTAAGTAGTGAAAATAGGTTCCTTGGCGGAAATCACTCCTGCGACAAACCGATTAAAGATGCGGAACAGACCGTGTTTATTACATAATTTAGAACGGCAAACATTTGCTGTCAGCTACTGTATGCTGTATAATTTAGAACACTGGAGACTTTCACTTATTATCTAGAGTCCCTTGTTGCACTTGCTTGGAACTACAAGAATATTGTGTTAGTAAATTCTTTTTCATATAAAGGACAGTGAGACATCAAAATTTTACTGTTGTGTCAGTTTCACTAAAGTGCATAATTATACAATTCAAAAAACAGTAATGTACAGTAAAAAGCAGCTTGATAATAGCATCCTGGTTTCTATCATCTGTGATCAGGACATCTTTCATCTTCTAGGCAGGGATAACAAGTGCCTGTTGTGGTTGGTAGTGCTTGTTATCACACAGGGAGACTTTCCAGCATCCTTTGATTTGGGCTGACCCTTCATTTTCTATGGAGAATAGTGAAGAATAAAAAAAAAAAAAAAATCTGCAAGTGCTGT